GTATTTGCAGGTTCTCCACTCGATCCTATTCTTACTCTATAACCTGATAAATAAATTGCTGCATCAACACTAGCTTCCAAAACAAAGCGTATATGACAAAAGTTCTTTTTAGAAAGACGCAAAGTAGTTATCTCTCCACATCGTTCAAATATTTCCTGTATTATAGCTTCGGTAATGTTTTCCGGCAACCCTGTGTAGGTAGTATGATTATGTAAAGATTTTCAAGTAATTTATTATTCAATGTGCAATGCTTACCTCCCACAAAAATTGTCCTACATCCTGGTGGTCTTTCTCGCGTGGTAGGTGGTGGAGCATTCGGATTTGGTGGAAACAATACACAACTTTTACAATGTATGATTTCTTTGGTACCCTGAGGCGTCATTGGCGGCGGTGGTAAACTCGCGGTCATTATTTGCGCTGCGTCTGTCATAATTTGCTCAGCGCCCAATATCTGAGCGCCTATCATACTGCCATCGTGTGACATCATACCCATGCCCATTGGATTGTAACTGTGCGTATGACTCATATGCGGACCCAATGTCATCTCGCCCATCATGGGTGCCATTGGTCCCATGGGACCCATACCCATCATAGGATAACCCACTCCCATTCCCCAAACACCTGTAGCAGGTTCCATCTGTGTGCCTATGCTCGGTGCGTTGTTTGTATTTGTCAACGACAAAACTTCGTTGTTGTTGTTGTTAGAATTATTCGCATGATTGCTATTATTCTTTGAAGAATTTGAGTTATTTCTTTCTTCGGTTCTCCGATCGTCCCTTCGATCTCGGTCGCTTCTCTCCTCCCTCCTGTCTCGATCCCTGTCGCGTCTATCGCTGCGTTCTCCTCTTGACCTTTTGCAAACATAATGAACAAGTTATAACTAGATTTTAAGCAGATAAATTATATAAAACTGTAATTATTATTCATGCAACTTGTTATATTTCTTATATAATTTGATAGAACAAACAAAAATAGAGTATCACCTCCTGTTGTTATCTCGGAGTTCACGGCTATCCCTGTTCTCCCGATCTCTTCTATTGTCATTTTTGTCGCTTCTTCTATCATTACTATCATCCGATGTTTCTCGCACTACCGGAGGCTGATTCTTATTCGTACTAAATTCCAGGGGCGAATCGTTCATGCCAGGTAGTGGTATGGGTGGTGGTGGTAACGGTGGAAAACCTTGACCCGCTAGTTCCATAAAGCTCTGTGGTCCTGCTATTGGACCTAGCGAACCTATTGGTCCCATGCCTGTAAATTGTATATCAATGAAACAAACGGCATCAGGATGACAGATTTGGATGGAATCGATTTGAAGCAAGGCAAATGGAGTAACGATTAATAAGGGAATAAGTTATCGCTCACCCATGGGTGGCATAGCAGTTGCTGGTACCCCAGGGAAGTTGTAAGCCATTTCTCGTAAGATGATCTTCGACTTCTATCCACAGAAGGCGAGAGGCAGCGGAAGTAAATACGCCGCTCTGAAATATTCTGCTTTATTCCGCTCGTTGTTGTCGAAAGTCGCGGAGATGGCGGCGATGAATATACAGAGTGGCTACTATCGAATCGTGATTATGCGGCGCGGGAATGGTAGTACATGCAAGTACGACAGATGACACCACCGCTGGCGTTTGGTCGCGTTGCCTAATATATTTGTTTTATTTTTAAATATGTTAAATACGTGATACAGAAAGAGAAGGTATCAATGATTTCAACTACACTCTCACGTTTCTTCCGAAATAAAAATATGTAGCCGCATAATTGTAGTTGTAAAGAGCAGCATCACTGCAGTCACATGCTATTCAGGCTGCTCCGTTTGGTTGCCATTTAGCAACGGCCGGTGTGTAAACATAGATGGCTGCTCCGAACGTCAAATTTTGTCAAGCATTCTAGTGACGTTTTCTCGTATGATTCACCACATGCCCGAGGATATTTGCCTTTTGCATCTTACATCGAGTACAATAATGATTAGCACACTTTGTCTGGGGTACGTATTTCTGTTATCCTTAAATCGCGACGTTTATATTTTAAGTAAATGCAATACGTAGTATGTTTGTTTACTAAGTAAATCCACAAAAACGCAGAAATGAAAACAATACACACGCAATGATAATAATAATAATGAAAATTTGAAATAAAATTAGAAAAATAATAGCCTCATCAAATTTGTTTAATTATGGCTCGATATAACGATTGTTCTATTAGATTTTAGCCATCGTGAAACATTTGTAGTAACAGTTTAAAATGATAAGTTATACATATCTCTTCTTTTATAATTATATATATGTATATACATGTATATGTACATCTCTTTTATCTGATATATAGAAAAATTTATATAATGTTGTATTCATGTTCCCCAAGTCTTGATAAATATATACATTTTCCTATACATATATTGTTGATACAGTTTCAGCTTTATATTCTTTTTTTAAATCTGATAATGATAGAAATCTAAATACAAACTTAAAGTTTCCTTAAAAGAGGAAAAAAGAAAATATATGATCAAGTATAAATATTGGTTATTAAAATAATTTAACAAATTGTTTTACGTAAATTAACAATCAATTTTTCACAGAAAAAAATTGATTATTAATACCCTGCGTTCACACAAAATTAATTTGTATACAAAACATATTTCTACGAGAGAATTTTTTAGACTCGAGAGCACAAGTATAAAGTGTCATATCACTTTATTTAATCAATCATAACATTCAATAATACATAATTTAACTGATAAATGTATTTTGTGTTTAAATTTTTACATAAGGACATGCGTTTTGTTATGTTACGATACACTCGATTGTAGGTAATACCTAGTTTTCAATATCGTAGGCAACTATGTCGTGTAGAGTTTTGACAAGATTCGAAACATCTCAACGCCCCATTTTGTAATTTACATACGTAATACAAACAACGATTCCAAGTAGCATATGTGCGATTGTATTTACATGAGTAACTTTGTATCGCGCCTCACATTCTAACAAGTAATTTAATTAACATATTTTATTCATATGTACTTTTATTTAACCACCCTTAAGTATCAATGGCAAGAACTTGCGTTTTTCTTTTCTTTCCTCTTTTAAGAGCTGTACTGTGACTAAAAAGATGATGTCTTGAATTACGATGTAACTTACAAAGTATGAATAATATTACACACACGTTTCGAATCCTATTGTATTAAGAGTCAAATGATGGTGCGCATCGTCGCATTCATTCATCCAAATAACATATGTACATAGTATATTCCCCGAGACCCAATCTCCATACCCACCCCATTCCCCAACGTAAAGTGAACAGATTAAGGCTCCAGCAGGCTATAGGCTACATTCTACAATGTACAATATATTATGTACTTTGTTAGTTTTCCGTTTTCGCGTACAATGTCTGGCTGTGTAATGTGTAGTAAGCGATAGCACCAAGAGATTTCTCGCTTCTGCTTTCGAATTCGAATGACTCTTTCGTGACTGCTACACCTAATGTGATTTAATTTAGAAACCAAGTTGCGCAATGATTAACATTTATTTCATTCAGTAGTTCATTAAAACTTTGCAACGTATCAAGTATATAATAGACATACTTATTATAAAACAATACGTTTTAACAAAAATGTATATAGACTTATACCTTTATGAAATGTAAAGTTGGATAAAAATAGTAGGCCTTGCCCACCAATATCTGTTAAGAGTTATGTTTCCTTGTTTCTCGTACTTTGTGTATTGAACGCGGTAATGAACACTTAACGGTGTTCGGTACCGGGCTGACAAATCATGGATAGACACATCTAATGTCTTCATATTACATTTGATATATTATGCATTTGATATCACCCATGGCCCCAGCATGTTGTATCGATAAGTAACACAATAATCAGAGAATATGTATATATATATATATATATTTATATAATAAATATATATATATATATCATTCTTTAAATCGAATTTTTAAATACACAAGATGTGTCATCGAGTCGCTTTGAGTGATCTAAGACTTAAGCGTTACAGATTTGTCTTCTTTTTAAAAAAAATTAGAATCAGTCTAAAGATCTTCCTTATACCTGACGTAAACTATCAATTTCGCTACTTTATTCGCACATCGTCACATCCGTAAGAAAACCTTTTTCATGTAGCATTTTTCATACAGGCTTCTAATCGTGTTTCACAATTATATTCATAAAACGTAAACAGCATATTTTATTTTTTAGTATTTAAATATCAGATAGACGGTCTATAATAAAATAGTTCAAATTATTTTGCTTTGAGTCAGGGTGAACCATCAAGTGATAGATAAATTGTGCTAGAGCAGATTAATGTAAATGTAATGACAAGATTATCAATAAAATAATAACCTCAGTGAATAACATTGCGTATTAATTTCTCTTATAATAATATACGAGATATAATAATATTCTCCAAAGAGTGTTATTAAAAGTAAAAATATAAATAATTATAAGATATCACTGATGTTACTATATTCTTGATAAAGTTTGCAGGAATTTATAAATTTTATCAGTTGAAAATCTGCCTTTATCTGCTCATTACATCACAACTACATGATTATAGTTTAAATTTATTTTCGCTATCGGTGTCTCACGATCTCAAGCTATTCAACACATTGAATTCAACTTCAGTTCAATCACTTAACATAAGAACAAGGATCCCCATTACCCCATTATAAATAGTGTATAGATCTTTTATCTTTGATACTTATTATCGCTTTTATATCCAAAGATTATATCTTGCACTATGCTGCACAATGCGAATATCACGGACATTATTTTAAGAAAGATGGTTAGTCAAAACGAAAAAAAAAACAGCGTGATTTATACAAAGGTTCCGTCGTCGAATATTGATTTTCGATTTTACAAGAATTAGCATATTTGTAAAAATAATGTTTATCAAGCCGTTTAACATTACATTATTTTATGAACAATTCATGTAGATTTAAAAAAATTATGCTTTTAATTAATTTTTTGATACAATTGACAACGCCAAAAATGTTGACCTTCTTGTTTTATTGCTTCTTGTAACAACATACAATATGGAGTCAAGAGGAACCTTGAGTGGCATGCATGAGTCGAATATCTCTAGTCAGACGTTATTTAATAGTGTAATTTGCTCCCATGCACATCACACCTCCAGACTTCACTCATGCAGCAAAATGCGCTTTTTTTTAATTATTTCTTTTAATATAAAAAAATTTATTTCTATTGACTTTTAAGCTCTTTGCCAATACTGTACGACACAATTTTGTTCCAGTCAATTTTTGTTCGCATTACTGGTAATTGCCTTCGCAGTGCTTTAAAGGTGGTGTCGGACATTGTTTGATAGTTCTCGGAAATTGCCGTTTGATAATCATTTTCAGATTCCTCGACAAACCGTATTAAATCCTTCGCCGTTTGCTTCTCATTGGAGATCGGCAGGCTCTCCTTCACGTCTTTGCTACTGACCAATTGTACATTTCCATCCTCATAATAATGTACTTGTACTTTGAGACTACCTCTCAGTTCAGCGTTACCCGAACTTGGGGTGAAACTGACGGTCCACACTGAACGCCAGCGGCCGTTCCAGAAATTTTTAGGTTGAAACTGATGATCTTCTATGCATGCCGTTAGCGTTATGTTTCCTGCGTTAAAAAAACAATTGTTGTCAACAACTCATGATGTCCTCTGATTTGTTTAAAGTCAACTGATTGAAATAACAATTACCTCCAAGGGATTTTCCAAAAACTGAGCAAGCGCCATGTCTATAATGACTTTGAGTATAATTCGTTATCTCTTCTTGAAGGGCTGACCTCCAAGGCTCCGCTAAGGGATCTGGTTCGTAAGATTCATAATCTTGTGCCTCCTTTCTCAGGTGATCATATTTAAAACTTTGCTTACTCCGCGCATCGTAAAACCTCTGAGAACCCAAGTCATTGTGTTCCGTTATGAGCGCTGGATGCTCACTTCCTTCTATCTGTACGTGATGGAAAAGACAATTTTAGTATTTTTCTTTACATGCTTATTTTTCCTTACGCTAATTAATGTATCACAATCTATATATGTATATTTTTGCATGGTCTCGGATTTATTATTTTACAGAAAAAGACATATGTAAATCTTGATTTTTTTATATTACAAAATAAGTTATTTGCAGTAGAGGAAAAACGAATAAAAAAGACATTGTGGCACTGCCACTGGCATTGTACATGCAGTGCCTAACCTCAGCTGAATTTACGATAGTTTCCAAAATATAGACATTACGTAGCGATCTAGGAGAAAGGAAATAGTCTTCATTTGTATATTCGAAGATTAAATAGCGATACGATGTTCCTGTTGTCTAGCTAGAGCAAAATTTCCATAACCTGGCGCGAGGGGGGGTCGGGTATTCGAGCCGGTCGTACGAGAGCCGCGGAGATGTCACGTGACGATGATCGTCACCTGGAGCGAACGTCATCCGCGCAATGAGTCTCAAAAGGTCCCGATAACGCGAGGTAGATAGAGACAAAGTGTTTAAGGTCACCGTGGTCGCGCCTCGCGGGCTTTCGGAATCGATACATACACTTTAAAAGGAAAAGGGGGTAAACGCGCAAAAGGGCGCCAAGGGTGCGAGCCGCAAGTTAGGTGAAGGCCGCGCGGGAGAAATACAGGGTCAGCGTACGCGGTACCGTCAGCGGCCGCCTATAATGATGATGACGACGATGATGATGTACCTTAACAGGCGTGAGCTGGTCCTTGTTATACTGAGCGAGCAGGACCCTGACGTCGTTGAACACCTCGTTGAACTCGCCCGGCGGCGAGTGCAATATAAAATCCGAGACTATTCGCACTTTTTCCTGGTCCGGAATCACCGCATCTCCGTCCGCCGCCATCTTACCTTTCCCACTGGCACGCACACTCCGCCACCGCCGCTGCCGCCACCACCACCACCACCACTACCATCACCACCACCACCGCCAACACCACCGCCGCCGATGTCAAAAGCGAGAATACGGTGCGGTGGTCACGGACGAGTTCAGGTTGTGCTTGGTCTCTCCTCCGGATCGTGACTCCGCTTCGTAGTTCGCGTCCCGTGGCGCCGCTCGCACTGGTTCGCAGCGGTACTGATGGTGCTGATATACCGAGTGGCGCCAGTTCGCCCCACGTAAGACATGTCTGTCTTTCTTCCCCGAGAAAGAAGAAAGAAGAAAAAGAAAGTAATCAAGTGTTAAATATAATCATCAGAAGCTGCGTGATCTTTTCCATCTTTCTCCTCTAAGTAAACTGAATTCCTCTTCTGTTATTTTTTTCTTTTCCGCTACATTAAAAGTTCTATGTACAGATATGATTCATATCGAATGAGAATGAATCACATCCTCGGAAAAGTCCTTCGCACGCGGAGACGAGCGAAACATGATTCTGGCAGATAGCGTATAACGTTTATCTCAAATCTGGCAGCAGAAGTGATAACGAGCAATAATTATTGTCGCTCGCGTATATCCAGCAATATATTTTAGTTCTCAAATAAAAATCGCTTCCCAGCAAACGAGAATGGATCGAAATGAATTGAAATGGATTGAAATGGATTCAGATTTTCAGAAATATTGATCACGAATGTTAAAATGAATGCTTTTCAATCGTGAATGCATTTTTATTCATTTATAGGAATTGCTGAAGCATATCTCTATGCCTTTCAATCTAATTAGCTGTGTCTGTGCACAATACAATTGTGAATACTGTTCAATTCAAAATTTTAAATAGGAAATGCAGTTTTTCAATCCAATTGCATCCAATGCATCTAATTGAATGCAATTGAATCCAATTAAATCTAAAAAAAATATTCGCTATTTAAAATACGCATTTGGATAGAAAAAAATTTTAATTCATTTTAATCCATTCTCGTTTGCTGGGTTATTATGTCTTCTCGTTTTTGAACATGGAAGGCGGAATAATGATAAAAGTAATATATGTTGTTACGTTATTTATAAATATAATATTAACGTTATATGTATATATATATATATATATATATATATATATATACATATTATTATAATAATAGTATTTCTAATCCATAATCACATTCACTTCCACACAACTCGCATCTTGCAGAACATTGAATTAACAGTAACGTTACATCGCAATATTATAATTTCTCATTCAATATTATAAATATAATACAATTAACACATTTACATACATAATAGTTGTATTGTTAAATTAAATAAAAAATTATAACATTGATGTAATTAATAAGTTTACAAACGCTACCCAATATATTTTTGTCAAAATCTTTGCACGAATTATCACGTAACAGCAATGTAAACAGCACTTTATACGCATGATGAATGATCGTTTATTATATGTAGACTGAAGTTAGTATAGAATCACAGAGTGTTATCGATCACTTGAATTTTCTCATTCGCAAATCGGTAATGGAACAAAATCGATAGACATGTTTAATTACTCTTGTGCAAATGATTGGAAAAAAAATCGTTATTTCGGCGAAGACAGTGCAAGAGATATTTTATAAATGTAATTTGAATCATGAGAGGCAATGATGATCTAGAAGAATCGTTCCTATATGTTACGCGTTGTCTCTTTTCAAATTAAATCCTTTTAATGCGCTCGCAACATCTCGCGAACGAATAGCGCTAATTCCACACTGCATGTTGAATTTTCAGCATCCGCTGACATCCGCATGCTAATCAACGTCGTCTCAAAATTGTAGACGATACTTTTCGTTTGATCTACTATAAGACGTCGGAAATTCGATTGAAAATGGCAGACGATCCGAATTGTGACATCTTGCCCGTAAAGGAAGGCTCTTACGTGGATACGATTATCAGTGCTATAGGTTCGTATCCATTTGTATCTGCCGTATATAATTCCAGTTGGATAATTTATAGCCAGCTGTTCGATACTCCTTTGATTTGCAGCCTTATTTCCTAGCGCGCGCGAACATAAATTTCTTCCTACGTTATGTTCCAAAATTGAAATCGATAAACAATATTGTTACACAAATCTGTTATATATACTATTTCTTTATTATTGCGTATAATGATATACAAAGTGCGTGAATAACATTTTGAATATTGGAAGATCCTAGAGAACGTCATCTCGTTTGCAAACTCGATCGCTATCAACTGGAGGATAAATATCTACGTTTACTCGATGAAGCGAACAATCTGAAGAAATTATACAACTGCCAGGAGGACAAGATTAAGCGACTCGGGACGAAGCTGATTAGATTGGCTGGTACTCCAAGAATGTGTGGATTAACGTTAGATATCGATGATAGGAATAGAACGGCTGCTCTCGAGCTTGAAAATACCAAGGTAAACTAATAATTGAATCTTCTACTCAAAAGAATAATGTAAATATTATTCTATTGTATATTATTTTTGTACAGCGTAGATTAATAAATTGTTTATAATATTATTAAGTTTATAATATTATAATTGTTTATAATATTATCATGATACTCTCTCTTTAAAAAAACGAAATTAATGCATGTTAAGGATTATATGTAATCTGTATGATCATAAATTAAAAAAATGAATATTTCGAAATATTGTTAAATGTTTCAGCTGAAGGAGAAAATCGCCGTGATGAGGAATCAATTGTTGAGTCACACGATGAGCGGCAGGTCGTCGTCGCGCAGCCGTAATCTCGTTAGACCATCGTCTTCCGGAATTGTGTAAGTATATGTACTAGGTATATGTATATACTATGACTCATTATGTCGCGGCACATTGAAATACTGAATCGGCTCCCTTTAGGACATGTCGAAGCGAGAATAACCGCATGAGAGGACCGCCGTCCTGTCAGTGCATCGTCGGGGACGATGACATACGAAATTATCTCGTTAAAATCGAGGTAAAACTAGTCCGAATAAACTCGATATTTGCACTATATATTCAACTTCATATTGTTTCATCTACTTCATTCGTATAGCACAATCAATGTCATTTCGCATATACAGAGTAAAACGAATTTGCGAAATAATGTAAAATAGTATAAAATATGTAAATAGTATAAATTGTTATTGCATGAGTTCCTTTGCATGATTTGATATTTGGACGAAGCATACATTCACGAGAGCATACACACTTGCTCATTATTGATATTATTAGGTGTTGGAATTAATTCGTAGCGTTTTACAAGTGATGGGAAGTACTTTCATTAATGTATTTTTTAATGCTCATGTGAAATAAATAACATTCTTTCATTAAAAAACGCTACGAATTAATTCCAACACCTAATACATAATTCTTACTTAGCGTCCAACTTTTGTTCGTAGAAATTGGAGGTGCAGAAGAAAGACATGACATGTCATATAATAGAATTGGAGAAAGAACTGGCGTATTTAACCAGTAATCGAAAAGAGAAAGTAGCGGAAAATGTAGAGTATATACGGGTGTGGCGACAAATGAAGCAATTAAACGATAAATTAATGACAAGCCAGGAGAAAAATACTGCACTGACTATTGAAATTAATGACTTGAAGACAACTCTTGAACTAACGACGAAGTATATTTATTATCAGTCTCTTATTCTTATAGCTATAATAAATTGTTTAATATATGTATTTATAATTTAGATATTACAAAAAAAATGATTAAATATAGTATATTTTTAATTTGAAAATTTATTATTTTATTAGAAATAATCAGGAAATAGCGGCTATTCTTTCCTCGGAGAGAATGCGCATAGCCAAGATTGACGATCACATATTGAAGGCAAAGAATTCACAATTCACATTACGCGAAAAAGACGAACAGATACGAGATCTTATGAACGAAATTAAAATATTGCAACAACACAATAATGAACTTATTATGCTTACGTCAAAATACGGGCGTTTTGAATTAGAGAATATTGAATTAAAAAAAAGACTTTGCGACGACGCTCAAGAGCAACAGATTTTGAAGACTGCTTTCAACAATGAGCAGGTTAATATTATAGAGTTAAAAACTACCAATGAGCGATTACTCTCGAAACTTCAAGAATTTCAGGCAAATATAGATGTTTTGACGATACAATTAGGGGTTAGTATATATATCTACTGTACATCTAATTAAAAAATTGCCTAATGATTAATTCTCATTATCAGTTTTATCATATTTCCAGTCTTTGCATACGCAAGATAAAAAGCAGGACTTTACAATAACGGTACCATCGGGTGTGGAACAATGTAAAAAGTGTTGCGAAATGTACGATAAAATTATGCAACTAGAAAAAACTGTTGGTAACACTAGAGAAGATTGGCAACTGGCAGATAAATCAGTACAGACAATCGTCATTACTGGCCCAAAAAAACAGGATACAATGATAATTTCAAATAATAAAGATAAGACATCGTCTCAATCTCCATTGAAGGAATGGAAGACAAATCAGGAAGCGAATAACACGAGTGTTTTATCCCGAGAAAAAATATTAAAATTGTTAGATCAAGCACAAATTAACACTCCTTTGGATGCATCAAGGATCACTCCTAAGAAAGAATGTACGGGCATTTTGGACGTAGCTCAGAAGCACAGGCAAGTCGTACCCCTCGAGAAGCTACTGTTCGGTGATTCTAATTGTTGACAGAAACTCTACCGTTCGGTACTAACTGTAAATATATATTTTATAAATATAGCATTTATATTCTTATACAGTACAAATGCTTAGGAAAATTGTTTAAATATTGTGTCAATGCTTTGTGTGTGTGTGTATATGTGTGTGTGTGTGGGCGCGCGCGTATTTGTTTGTGTGTGTATCATGAGTGACATATATCTATTTTTTAATCAAGGATTTTCTCTGCATATTCCCTTGATTCAATAATTGTAATTAATATTTTATATTTTGCATTCCTTGTGTCGCGGAAATCAATAACTTGTGTACATATTACAGAAAACCTTGTGTGTTCAAAAATCTAATTTCTCGATATTGTAAGATATAAATATATATATTTATATATATATTTTATATATTCTATTTATTTAAATAAGGACATCGTTGTGTGTAACAGTTTTTTGTATATGTGCATTTTAATATTCAACTACGATTTTGTATTTTTTTGTAACCTTATTTTATATATCTTGTTCCATATCTTATTTTTCATATCTTTTAACATTATTAAAAATTAAAAAATTAGAGTTTTTAATATCACTAGTATGTATTGCAGTGATGGAGAAATATCTTCTCAGCATGATATATCAAATGCTATGCGGGAGTATTTACAAAAAAAATTCGCATATTTGGAAAATTCAAACATAACACTAGATCAAATGTTTTCGATTTTATTCGACATTATGCAAGAATTCTTATCGTTTACTAACGTTGATGGAAAACCACGTTTGGATCATCAAGTATCTGCGATCGAAGATCCATTAATTGACGTTAACAACAATCTTCCTACAAAAATTATTCGCGACATTAAGAAACATGATTTTAATACAGGAACCACGAAAGATTTCGGTAATAATAATCATATAATCTAAGATTATCACAAACTCTTAATATGGAAACAATCTAAAAGTGCGATAACGAGTGATATCTCCAATAATTTTAAAAACTATTATATGAATTTAGAATCTGGTCGTTGTACGAGCTGTTCTCTTAAATCGAATGCCCTTTACTCCAAGAAGTGCAATTTTGCATGCAAAAAAAAACCTGCAACCGTCTTAGCGAGTTCATCAATGAAAAATATAGTTGATGCTACTTCCTCTTCTATGGCTTACAGAAAATCATCATATCGAGATATTAGTAAAGATTTTTGCGTAAGCAATTATAATATTTCTTCATGAAGCATTAAATTATAGCATAATGTAATATCAATGATTTTTATTTAGGCAGAAAAGGTGATAAAGATAAAAAGATTAAAATCACCCCGTTTACATCCCAAATGTAATTTAACGTGTCACTTGCGCAAAGTGAAAGATCCACTATCCCTGCTGGAGAAGCGAAAATTACCTTGCACAACCGAGTGTTTGAACGACAGTATAATGTTACCAATGTGTCCAATGGATCCTTTATTAATTACTGACAGGCAAGGTCTCATTGAGATTCACATTTCGCGATTGCAACTTTCTACTTCGGTTAGTATATCTCATACATTTTCCATTGTTTCTTGAAGTGGAGAATATAATCTTGTTATGTTCGTTGAGATCATTAGGTTACAAATATTCCCGACGAAGAAGATATATGTAGTCTTCACATTTACGTAAGCTGGGATGTTTGGGGCGAAAAAACCGCTTATACACCAAAAATGAAGTGTCCTAATCTGATTTTTAATTCGTCCTGCGTATATCGTATAACGGATCTTTTCTCATTCTTCAAAAACGTGTTGTCGGAATACCTCATCTTTCGAGTGAACATTGTTCGCCGAGACGGTACTAGCTACACATTCGCCCGAGCGAAAGTCTCCATTAAAGATATCTTAGATTATCCGCAAAACAAGTTGCATTATATCGTTCCTGTGAACAGTATAATTTGTTCCTTCTTCGGCGTTAATTTCGGTCAACTATCGTTGTGGGTCCGGTTGAGTTGTAATGTCGATATGGTCGAAGCTTTTAAGAAGCAAAGCGGTATAAACTCGTCGAAAGATACCCATGCGCCTCCAATAAATGACATATCTAAGAATTCAAATTCTACAAAACAGATCATTGATATGTTCAGAGATCAACAACAAAAGGATAGTTTAGTATTTGAAGATTCAACGGATACCCAAGTGCCATTAGACTCAAGTAACATTGCTCGATCGTATATAATTACGATTTGTATATATACTTGATTGTAATATTTGATTGAGAATTGCAATTTATTAAATAATTATACTTTTTTTGTATATGATTAAGTCGATTGGGATTGTATATCATTAGCAGCAATCGTATTATAATCAATCATACAAATATTATTAAGATAATTGGTGAATTAAATTATATTAATTGCAATACTTCAATACATAACATCATTTTATCAAAATCATAGATTTACAATATGAAATTGAAAACTCGGACGAGGAAAATTTTTACGTTAATTCAAATAATGAAGAATCGCCTATCAACGAAACGTCTGAAGAAGAAAATGGAATGATTGCAATGAAGTGAGATTTCTTCTTTGTTATCTCGTTGTGTTTCCTCATGTATTTCAATTGCTCGCAAAATCGAATTTTGCAACTTAAAAAATAATTTTAATTAGTTCAGGTTACAAAACGGATAAAAGGAAGGAGAATAAGAAAAATAACGCTCTGAGGGATTCACCAAGCATAGCAGAGTTCAAAACATTATTAGCGAATGTAAGATATGTTTAGGAAAACTTTCGCGATTGCATGAGAAATAGCAAAAGTGTGTTATTTGTAAATTATCGAGATTTCGGACATATTCAGGATATTTCGCTCGAAGGATCAAGCAACACGACCCGCGATATGGACGACGTTCTCTCGGATAGAAACTGGGAGAGGTATAGGCAGAAGAGTCTGCTGACTTTTGCCAGTACATTTAATAATTTATTACATCTGTATTCATGTGTGCTGATTGAATAGCTCAGTATTGAATTAGTGGTCCAAAAACACTTGCAGGAGTTAACTCGTTAAACGTGGAAGCGCAGGATTACCAAAATGACATCTCTATTTGCGTATGGGACTGTTCCATTAGTTATTTTTAGATGCTCCTCAAAGAGTGCTGGATTACAAACATAAATTTTCTGCAATAAAAAAAGCTACCGACTATATATTTTATACTGTTTAGTTATTTAACGCTGTAAGTTAAATAGCTACAGCAAATTGAGCTTGAGAGTTTAATTTAAAAAAAATTCAATTAAATTTTATTCAAATTTCTGATTTTATTGTTTAATGCAAAAAATAAAAATTTGCGAAATAAGCTAATAGAATTTTCGTCGAAGATGTATCATCCATAAATTTAGAAAATTATATTATTATCACAATAAATTGTCATATTTTACGACGCAGAATTTTAATAATACTTGATAAATAAATTAATAAATAAATTAGTGCATTGTACACCAGCACGTTTCTGATGGAAAAGCATACCTAAAAATATTTTTGTTAAAAGTATATCAATTTTCAAATGTACGTGACATTGTATGAAGATTAATTCAATGCAATTTTGATTTAAATACACTCTTTTCAGCGCAATGAAAAGGATGCGATAATCATAGAAATAGTGAGTATGCAATTTTTCGACGACAGTTGCGTGATGCAGGACGATCAGATACATTTGCTTTACATAGAATATTGTTTCCTCGACAAACGTGGCGAAGATATGGAGACCATTTCCGTGGAAAAACCAAAAATAAGTAAACAAGAAATGGTCTACAATTATAAGAAAAGTATATACCTTTATGCGTAACAGCAAATATTTAGATTAATATTATAAATTAATAAAAAGACGCGTCTTCAAATATGTAAATTATAAATGAAAAATAATCATTCAGAAAGCATATAACGTAAATAAGTACAATAGTTTCGTAATTTTAGAATTTTGGATAAATGAAATAACACATCCCATACAAAGAGAAAATTTGCGCGCCATGTTAGCCGAAGACATAAATCCGAATATCAATTTTATTGTTATTAGTGAACCATTACCCGAGGAAAGGGAAGTTAAAGATTGCGAGGAAGTGGGGCAAGTATAATGATCTATTAAATCTATTTTATTTGTAATGTTCATAGTATTATTGTAAATATATAGAAATTTATATTTACTACTTCGTGTTTCCTCTTACAATAATCTTCAATTTTATGATTTTATAATTGTTTATTGTATATGTGATTTGAGATTTAATATTTAATAACTAATTTCTATTCACATTTCTTTTAGTTATGCAACTTTTGATATAAAACAATATGCGCTTGGTGATGAGTGCAAATATATATTATTGCCGATCAAAGATAATCAAAATAGAGAAATTGGAACACTGAAGGTAATATATATATTATACATTATCTCTTTGTTAATAATTATTAAATTTAAATTTATTACAGATCTCTGTGACTGGTATGAATGCTATTCGACAATGTTTACCAGAATTAAGATAGATCGATTGCATTTGGTACAAATAGCAATATGAGAGACAAATATTACACGCATTTAGATTATTAGAAGATGAAGTCGAAAGATCAGTATTCTGATTCAAGAAGAAAAATTCAATTTCTAATCATATTTATTCAAAGTTTATTCAAAATTGTTTACATATTTTCTAATACATTAAATTATGTTGTAACATCAAATTGATAAAAAGTATCGACACATTTATTAATCTTTAAACAACTTGCTCGTACTTTCTTGAGTTTATTTAAATTATTGTTGGTTTACAGACTTTGTTTAGCGCTGAACTTTTTTATCGTTTTTCTAGACATTTCTTACATTTTCGTTGAGATATTTAAGTCTTTTTTTTTTCTGCTTTGTATTGATGCAGCGTGTTATTTGGTTGCAACGTGCTATTTTGTTGAACTATATTATTCGTTGAGATTTTAGCGGTTCTATTATCCTTATTATCTTTTTGAAATAATCGCGTGATCTCTTGATGTTGTTTTTTCATCTCTGATGACAGTTTAGTTCGGCGAAATATATCGTTGTAGATATTTGTAGCTATCTGAAACTCTCTGCAATCCTGTGGGCTATGGGCAATTGACCAAACACCCACTATCGTATCGATACCCTGGCATACTCTACACGCACCTGTGTATGTAATTATAGATCTTTTTTAAAATTTTTAACTGATTCCTCGCGTAATCTTTATCAAATGCGACAAAATTAATTTACTCTGTCGCTTATCATACCTGCGAACACCGCCAGAGATTTCGTGCAATTGTCAATGGCAAGTAAGGAAAACGGTTCACCCTTCGTAAACGGTGCATATCCGGTTAAATTCCAGGCGGGATTCAATAAACCTCGATGAGCAGGCGGAGGTGATAATTTTGCGAGCGTCACATTTATGGTGCGATTAGTAATTTTCATGTCGATTCGCACTCCACCCTGAATAGTTATCCATGAACCTGATATGTTGCAAGGCAAACCTATGTTGGAAAAGCATTATTTAACAATATTTTGTTTTAACATTAAGCTCTCCTAGACTAGCTACACTCGTTCAAGTATGAGTCTGAGCACAAGAATTCTCGTAATTACTTAGACTTAAATTGTAGACGTAAGTAACGTGTAACTTATTACCATGTCTCCAAGAGATGGTAATAAATCGTACATCATACGCCAAAGCTTGTGCGTTACTTACGTCTACAACTTAAGTCTCTAAGTAAGTGTTACAACAATTCTTGTGCTCAGATCCTATGCTTGCGCAAGCTACATGTGCAAGTTTATTTGAACGTATGTGACTGGCCTTGGACTTTCAAAATAATGCATAAATTTTAATATTAATTTTAATTTTATTATATAAGATATAGATATATTGACTAGTTGAAATTTCTTAAAGAGAACTTATTGCTATTTGATGCCAAGTTTACCATTAATTAAATGTTAACTTTAAAGCAAATTAAGATTATGCAATAACCTTCTATCTGTTCATTTTCAGTGGCTCGATTTGATTTAATTTCTTCCAATTCGTCAATAATCTTCTCTAATATCTGATTGGCAACTTCCTTAGTTTCGTTTAACGTCGCAGAAACATTCGCACGTTGTATTTCTTCCGTTGTTTTTGTTGAAATCATAGGTGCAAGATTATCGTGTGTTTGATCGTTCGTTGGTTTATTATTTGTGTTATCATAGCTTTGGAATTGTCCATGATTAATTTGAATCGCTTTCTGTTTCTTCTCCATTAACTGTTGTTTCTTATCATTATTGTACCAACTCTGTTTGATATCATTTTCTCGATCGGGAATGAAGACGTGTTCTTTTGGTTGATTGACAGTTGATTGAGAAAATAGCGGAGCGTGATTGATCTTGTGTATGACTTGATTCGAGGAAATAACAGGATGATCATTAGATAAATGCGCTATTGCAGGTCCAAAATTGTTCTCAGCGATGTAGACATTCGAAGTTCCCGGAACTTTGCGAAGGATGCACTTGAACTTCTTGAGGTTTGCTCATCTCTGGTATAATACTTAAATTTGAATACGGAGGAGCTTTTAGATCCTGATATTGTACATCGCTAGGAATATGTTCAACTTCGATTTGCGAACTGATATCCGCACTGGTAGTGAGAACTTTCGCGAAATCAAGATCAGAATTGACAAAATTTTCAGTAGAAGATTCCATCTCATTGATGTATATGCTTTCTTTAGGTAGATTAATGTTCGATACTTGAAACTGATGTTCGATACTTGAATCCTTCGGTGTTACGTCGGGAATGTACAGACTTCCTGAATCGGTTTTCTGATCGATCAGTATCGGCAAGTACATAGATGTGACAGCGTTATCTTCATTTACTTGATCGATCACAGAATGATCGGTCTCCCAAGGTTTTAACAATTCATAATTGTAAGTTAAATCTTTATCATACGAATCTCTGTCTATGAATTGCTTGTTTCGCGAATGATTGATTAATGATTTACTGTCAAAGACATCGTTTGAGATTTGTCTGGCGATTCTGTTGTTTTCAATCTCTGTTTCATCTTTTGATTGTATTTTAATTGGTTCGACATTGTCATTATTATAATACTCCGAAGATACGAATCCATGATTCCTAGAATCTTTTTTAAAATTCTTTTTTCTTATTAAGCGTTTAATCTTCTTATTTGACATTTCGCTAATTCGATGCCTTTGTCTTGGGCGACTGTCTTTTTCACTTACAATATTTCGTTCAGCAATGTTATTTTGAATCATTTTATTCACAATATTTTGATTTGTCTCATCAATATTAACAGGTAGATTTATTTTTTGTCGTTTCTTCTATAGAATAAATATTACTAATTAAATTAATATTTAAGTAGAAAAATAATAAGATCTTTCTTTTATTCACCTTAATATGATTTTGCTTGCGTAACCAAGGATGTTCTTCGTATCGTTTTAATCCATGTTTATTTCTCTTTTTTTTTCTTTTTCTCTTTTCATTACGATTTAATAATTCATTCAATTTTCTCGTACTTACTGTTGGTTTACATACACTTTTCATTCTATCTACCAGTAAATCTTTCATGTCAGAATGATTCTGTACAGTCCCGCTCAGATTTACCAATTTCTTTATATTACGTTGTAATTGCGGTGATTCGAGAGCTTCCTTTGCTAATTTCTGTGCTAAGAATTTAGTTTCTGTTCGTTCAGGATTGAATGTAGCCTCTAAATCTATATTTTTGTCAAATCTTTCATTAGAAACTTGCTCGTCCAAATTCAATTTTTTCATTATTGTTTCCTTTTTACATGTTTTATTATCTTGTATGCGGAAAAAATTCTTTGCAGGCGGGATAATTGATTGCACAACAGACACATCATTGCAAATTATTCTGAGTAGTAATGATATTATCATGAACCTGATCACACAAAGAAAAGCTGTTGTGTACATATACCGTATCACAATAAAATTTGGCAATACCTAAGATATCAAAGATGTGTACGATGCCAAGAATACCTGTAGTGTTTGCTTGTATTTCTTGGTATCATTTACAAAGCATTTGCTATTCTAACAAGAAAATCCTTCCTTCTTTTCTCTTTCTTTTTATTCAAGATTTATTTATTAATTGTAGCTGAAACTTTACGATCCCGCACTTCATTAGCGAAACCGAGAAATTGCACAATTCTTTGAGTTCCTCGTAACTACATCGATAGATGTGTAGATAAAAATTTACGAGCGATAAATCGACACGTAAATGTTGCCTTCTTCTCGTCAATCATTTTGTCGCGAATGCCTTCATTAGACTGAATAAGGCATTCTCACATTAGATTTAGCTTTGTTTTATGTTCAGAGTAGTACAATTCAAATCTTTAAAAATTATGATTTAAAAAATAGAAGTATATATAATTTTTCATCATTTTTAACATTGCCAAACTTTAGTGTTTATTCGCCAAAATTTTGTATCACCTTAAAATATTGTTATTATAATTTTTCAGGATAATTAACATTTATTATAACGTTAAATTTGCAACGTATTACATATTGTAACAGATTCGATACGCAAATAGATCTCATCTGCTCTCAATTTAAAAGCCGAGTATAATAACGAAATACGTCATAATTGATCAGTGGCAAAGAAATCGCAGTGGGTATAACGCTACTAGCCGTCTTGGTATCGATTTGGATTCGTGAAGAGAAATCCCTGGAGAGACGTGTAGGCATCGATTATTATTAGAAGCGGCCGAAACTCGGCCAATTGACCGCGCTACGAATTAGCACATATGCAAACCCCATAATAATGATTTCGCAGCAATTGTTCTCATTTTAGTTTGTAAAACAAGAATGCTTTATTACATCAAAAATAAAAAAAAACATTTTATAAGTAGAAGAATAGCTGATTTTATCAAAGAGAGAGAAAGTTTTACGTTACTTAATTTTTAAAAATTATTTTTTGAAAATTAATTAAGGAATAAAAAAAATAGTAAATAAATTAGAAAATATTTAATAATATTAAGGTTAATACTAAAAGATTAAGGATTTAAAAAAAATATTTTATCAATTATTAGTGATTTAGTATTTTTTTAATTAATAAAATAACAAGAAGTTGTATGGATATTTTCAGAAAAGAAAGAAGAAGAATCACTAGAAGAAATGTATGATTAATAATATTTTAATGTATTTGAACATATATATATATATATATACTGACGTACACACACTGTTTAACTCACACTTTATAATTATTACAGAAGATCTAATTGAGTAACAACTACATCAATTCAGATGTAATTCAATTTAAAAATAGGAGGGAATTTTATCGTCCTGTAGAACTAACGTAATGTTTGAAGAACAGAATTGAGGTATAGCGATTAAGGGAAAAAATTTAAGAAAGCAATTCGGAGCATCATGTCGAAGAGATTATCGATGGCGATGAGGAGGTAGAGAAGAGAAGAAGAAGAAACTGCGTTCGGGCATCGGGACGCGTTGTCGCTGGCATTGGTAGCAGTCTCGAGATAGCCGTCGGCTGGCTTCCTCACTGGTTCGGGCGATTTATTCGGGGATTCCTAGGTAGTCGAAGTGGCGAGCGAGTGACTCGGCGACGTCGACGGAGATCGACGAGGAAGATCATTTTGTATACGTAATTCAATTGCTTTCCCCTTTACGTGTTAAAGCCGATAATCCGAGGGTTGGTGAGTGAAAGCCGAGGCAGTCTCGAAGGTCCTGGAGGTCAGTGCATAGCTCTCTCCTCTTTCTCTCCCCCCAGGACAGTTCTGTTCTTCTTTCTCCCCTGATCACTGTTTCCCTTTCTGGCTGTTGTCTCTTCTTTCTCTCGTTCGTCCCGTGTCAGCTTAGCTCGTTGGTGCTATTTTCGCGCGAGTGTGTTGTGCAAGTGTCGAATGTTAGCGTTAAGGTGCTGATTCCGATGTAGAGCTCGTTCGATAGGTCAAGTCGTCTCTCGCTCCGTTCGTCGAGAAACCTTACCCTGTCCAACTTACCCACTCCTGACATGTATATTCTGCTGTGAACAGTTTATGTGTGTATGTGTGCAAGTACAAAAGATCGTACTTGTTAGAAATGCAAACACCGTCGATGATTCGTATCGAGAAATTCATTCAAAGTTTAACCAATGTTATAGGCATAAATATTATCTATATATATTTTATGTGAAGATACGACAATTGAAATGAAGTTTATTATAACTAATGTCATTTATAAAATCTACTTCGTTAACATTGTAAATATCATATTGATATTCTACTCTATCTATATAATATTAAAATTTAAATTTGTAAGAATTATAATTCTGTTCAGAATTATTCAGAATTATAATTCTGGATCAATACTAGAAGTCAAATCATACATAAGTGTATCAATAACGACGATCACTTATCGCTTTGAACGAAAAAAATTATTAGTCGCTTAAATTGTAGCGAATGACACTTGCAATTGATCTTGATAGTGACAATAATAATTTTATGATCTATTTGTCATAGTGTCCGATTTGTTTTAAGTGACATGTATAAAATACTGCCACGCGAAAGCGTAGCACATTGCGAAAACGAAAGCATGATGATAGTCTTCCTGAACGAGGAAACCCCGTTGTGATGATATATGATATTTCGCTTCAGCGAGATAGATACAGATTAATAAATGTGGTTAATTAGTTAAGGTCTGGATTCGGTGTCAACTAAACGTCTGTTCGTGTCGGTCTCAATTTTCGAAATATTACACTTAAGTAATTGAATAGCTTGTTCTATTAAAACAACTTTATATCCCATATTAAATTGAAAGAAGCATAATATAGACGCTATCAATTAAAAAATTTAATTAAAAAAATAAGGTGTACAAGATTTTTAAAAATTTCAATTTTTATTTTAATGTTATTTTATAATAGTATTTATACAATTCACTTTTTCGTTGATTCGTAGTACTTAGAATTAATAACATATTTATTAAGCAAATATATAATACAATTTTTTTATTATTACACCATACGATATATTAATATTTACAAAATATGTTTGCAGCTATATCCTAAAGATTGTCAACAATACGAATTTTTCTCGCGATCAAAACAGTGAGACGGCCAACTGTGTTAATGTATGTATACAGTCTGAAATTTTTGGCCAAATGAAACGCATAGCTCTCTATGCATCTCTCTAGTCGTGCTCAAGGTGCTTCATAAAATAGCTGCACTATTTTCCTGGCACAGTTTCCCAGAGTCAAGCTTCCAATGAATCAAACCGTAGGAAGGCCAAGTTTTTAGTTTTGTATAAACAGAGTTATACATACATGCCGACACTCTAGGAATTTGCGCTTAAATTTTATTTAGTAAACTACTAAGCTTGGTTTACTTTGTGGAGAACAATAGAAGCTGATAATGTAATTAATTACTTTTACTGTAACTTCAAGTCAATCAGTTCATTAACATTCACGAAATTTTTATAATTTTGCTTTTCTTGGCTTGTTAAATTTTTTGCGACGATTAATTAATGACAAAGGAATTAATTCGATTTTATATTGGTATCTAAACATTTTTCCTGTTATATTAATAAATTGTTAGTTAGATAGACAAATTTATAAATTTATTTATTGGTATTTGGGGATGTAAATTTATCTTTTGTTTTTTAATTAAATTACTGATAGGAGTAACCATGTACATTACTAATCTTTGATCACGACCTGTTTTGAGAAGAAGTTTTCTCCCTAATGATAGCTCTGGGGCCATGTGTTTACACCACGTGAGCTGCTATATCATTCACTGCTATATCATTCACTAACACAAGGCCAGTATATTTTCATTCCAGTGAAACGTTTAGAAAAATCGTGGATTAGCGCATGATTTATTTTTTACATCAATGATTGCAATCGTAATAAAGAAAGTTAATAATAATTTCAAAGCTATAAATTATTTTTATATTATTTTTATATTATAATTTGACATAATTTTATAATTAATGCAAAAATTAAGGACGATGCGAAACATATATATCGAAAATTGAAAATTGAAATTACATTCAAGTTATGATCTGACGCGCGCTTTGCAATTTTCCCAAAGATGAATAATCTCGCGCATCAATCCCGCGATTCAGTGTAGCACTTCGGTGATGCGAAAATCGAATAGCGGAAGTGACCCGATTAACGGAGAAACGAATGAAAATGCGGCCAACATCGCGACGAGCCGACGGAGTCAGCCAATCGCGACGGACAGCTACGACTGTCCGCGTGTCGGAAATAGATCTCGGATCTCTCAAACCAAAGGTTGATCCACTAAGATGCTTACTTTATTCATCGGTGCATTACGCACAACTTATCGTCGTTGGCTCTGGCCATTAAGTAATGAATTATGGCACTTGGCAAAATCAAAGACTGTCATAAACGCGATTTTCCGCGCCACAGGAAAGAGAGAAATCTTCCCCGTCATCCTCGTCTTAATATATCTATATGCTCCATTTTGAAAATTAATATTTTTTATTTCTTCATATTGTATTACAATTTAGTTAAGTTATACTGTCAGAGTTATAATTCTTTTTCTATGATTTTTATTTTGCCTATAAATCAATCTATAGTTGGCAACTATCACAGGTTTCATTATATTCTTCATTTTGAATGCAGATTTAAACAGATATTAGACATTGTGTGTGCGATTGATGATAACTTTATAAGATTTCCGTGGATAAATCTGTTGTGTTTTCTTGATTGTTCGATGTAGATAAGTTACCTACTGCTCGAAAGAGAGACTTCAGGAACTTGCAACTTTCTTGAAATTTATCTGAAAAATATTTAGCAAC